AGGTAAAGTAAAAATAGAATAAATTATACTCACTATTTTATCATCTGATTGTAGAAATTTTTTCATGAGTTCTGCTTATTTCGCAATTTTAGGATCAATTTTCTCTGGATGTAACTTAAGATGACGATTTAAGTTACCAGTTAAACTTCTACTGCTCATACTATAAATAGAAATGTTTATGATATATTTGAGGAAGCAGTAAGACAGCTTGGATTATTAGATAAAGAAAATAATGAATTTGATAAATATCTTGATAAGGCTGCAATATATCAAATGCCATCTAAACTAAAATAACTATTTGCCTCTATATATATTTAGTGATCCAAAAAAGCTAAATGCTTATCAACTTTAAAAGATCACTTAAGTGATTTAGATGAAGATTATTTGAATTAACAACAATGATTTAAAGATACTGAAGATTTATCTGAAGAAGATTATACAATTATAATCATAAAAACATTAATAGATATTAAAAAATATCTATTACCTTATGAAAGATATTTGACTAATTATAATATTCTTCTTTCTAATTATTCTTTGCTTGAAAATAATAGAGAATTTACAAGATCAGATTTAATAATGAAAGAATTTAATTATAATTTTGATAAATTAAATGCTCTCTTAAACAATGAAAATGATTTAAATGTTAATCAAAAAAAACATTTATAATACAATTATTCAAATTTTTAATAATGAAATAAATGAAACAGTATTTTTTGTTGATGGTCCTGAAGGTTATAAAAAGACCTTTTTGTTCAACATAATTTTGACAAAAATAAGAGTAAATAATAAAATAGCCATTGCAGTTGCTTTATCAGGAATTGCAGTTTAATTATTAGATGGTGAAAGAACAGTCCATTTAAGATTCAAGATCCCAATCAAATTAACAGAAACATCTACTTTAAATATAAGTGTTACATCTAAATTAGCTGAATGATAAAACTTATTATCTAAAATAAAGCATCAATAACATATAAGTTTGTCTTTAAAGCTATTAATAGAATCTTTAGGAATGTAACTGATATTGAAAAACTATTTGGAGGTATAATTGTTATCTTAAGTGAAGATTTTAGGTAAATCTTACCTGTAGTAATTTGAGGAAGATGTGAACAAATTATAAATGCTTGCATTAAGAATTCAGATTTATGATATTAATATTATGCAACATGAGAATTAAATAATTACAAAATGATGAGCAAAAACAATATGTAGATTATTTATTACAAATTGGTAAAGAAAAGGAGTTGTTACATTCTGAACTTAGTGAAGATATCATTAGATTATAAGATGATATGATCTTTAATGATAAGAAAATTGAATTATTAATATCAGAGATTTTTTATAATATTAATGATAACTTTAATAATTATGCAAATTATATCAATTATATTAAAAATTGAGCAAATTATCAACATTTTTCCTGGAGAATTTCAAGTATTCTTATCAGCAGATTCTATTAATAAAAAAGAGTCAGTTCATCAAAATCTTTATTCTATAGAATTCTTGAATATATTAACGCTATGTAAAATACCTCCTTATTATTTTGTATTTAAAGTTGAAGTTCCTATTATGCTTTTAAAAATATTAATCCAAAAGAAGGTTTACAATGATACTAGATTGATTATTAAAGGATTTCAACAGCATGTAATAGATGCAGAAATCTTGATAGGCACTTATCATACAAAAAGAACATTTATTTCTCAAATTAGATTAACACCATCAGATATAGATTTACCATTTAATTAATCTGTCGCTAGTTTCTAATTCTTTTAGCCTTTGCTATGATCATTAATAAGACTTAAGATCAAACAATACTATATATGGGATTATACTTGTCTAATCCTGTATTTTCTCATGAATAATTATATGTGGTATTATCAAGGATTCAATCAAAGAATAATATCAAAATCTTTGTATATATTGTATTTAAAAAAACCATTTGTATATATTTTTCAATTTATTTGCATATAATTTTAAAAGTATTATATCATTTAATTATTTGTATATAATTTTAGTTTAATTTTATTATTTATTTTAATTTGTAAATTATTTTTAATTTTATTATTTTAATTTGTATATAATTTTTA